TCCGCTTAAATTAAGAGGCTTGGTTCTTGATTTAAGCTAGATTCTGATTGAATCAAGAGTACCTTTTCTTGTCGATGTTTTTAAGAGTCTGGACTCTAGATCCAATGTGTTTTTTTCCAGTGTAATATGAATATTTCCGCCCAAAATTTTCTAATACTTCAGTTTCTACGAGGAGGTACGCCCCCTGGCCGCCAAGTGGCTCAACCACAGGGGGCGCTTCGCGTTCCCTAAGACTCGTTTCGTGGGTCCCCGTGAATTAATCTAAATAGAGTGAGCCCGTCTAAGGACTACCTCCTAATGATAGCCGTAAAATACACGCAAATCGGAGCCGGTCTACCTCTAAAATGAACTGTGACAGGGGAAAAATTTGTTTACATTGTTTAAGTGGGAGAACTCACAAAATCACGCAATATAATAACGCCTGAGTCATATTTCTTAGTCTTAATACAGCTAGGGCATCGAGGGACCGCCATCTGCCAATAGCCGTCAAAACCGCGGAAACCGGCCCAGTGAAACGGTAGAACAAACGAAATGCCAGCAAATGGAAACTTACGGGATCGGAGAGCTTACAGTAATGATGATTACTAAACAAATTATCTGAAACATGTTCTGAAAAATGGTCCCAAGTTTTCGAGAAAATTCGTATTTTAGCGAAGGAAATTTGGCAACGCACGAAAGCTCGTACGGCATTTTTTCTCGATGCTGTAGTTACAGTGCAGGGTATTCCCTGCTGTTGTTTTCAGCCCCACTATTATTGATAGCACGGCAAATATACATGAAGACTCCTATTCCGATTGTGCGTATGCGTTCTATAGAGCTTTCAGGAGGAAAATATTGAGCGACATCGATAGTGGAACGCAACAACACTCTTTCTCGCCTCAATAAAGTGAAATGAAAAGTAAATCTGCAACGTTGGAAACTGAGATGCGTCTTACACCGGTTTCACCAGTAAATATAATCGACTATTTACACTTGTGTTCAAGTAACTCAGAAAATCCATCGTTCAAAAAACGCCAATAGGCATTTCAAAATTCCCGAAAAAAGGCAGAGAAAAAGGTTTAAATTTGTAGTGGAAGTCGATGAGTTTTAGATCTTACAGCCTTAATCACTCAATTTTTATTTTTCGGTTTTTTAGGGTGAGGCAGCTAGAGAAAACATAGGAAATTTAATTAAAAAATCAGTGAGTTTTTTGCGCATACCTTTCTTCAATAGCGTAAAAACATACAGCAGGGCAGGGTGGTGCTCTGTGCCTTAAAAATCTTCTAACGTAGAAAGAAATTTAGGGTTGTTGATGATCTGGAAAAGTGGAGGAGAAAATTGATATTCTCTTGAGCGGAAATTCTTAGATTTGCAGATCCTAGTATGATTTTTAGAGATTGATTGAGCTGTTCAGATATTGCAATGCTTTGAGTGTTTGCTTTTTTTTAAATAATTCACTGAGTTTGATTCCTTTTGAAGCAGAGCTAGGAAAAATCTTGCATAGTTTACTTCGTCTCTTGGCCTGCAAAAACTCTGAATATTTCCCTTTGCAGGCACGACAATCCAATTAATCCACCTTTCACTCTCCCTCTCTGTCTAAAAGACGTTTTTAATGCAGTAGCTTGTTCTTTCATCAGTTGAGCATATTTAATTAGCCAAGATAGGATGTATTGTTCTGAGCTGCGCTGCTCTCTGTGCTTTTTGATGACGGTTGTTTGCACGCTCTTTAATCCGCTCTTACATTATCAGGGCAGATTAAGGGGCATCAAAAGTTTCCTGTTTTCGGCAGTATCGTCCTCGGCTCGCGGAGTCAACTTAGCAGGGATTTCCGAGTTGTCAGAAAGCTCGAGGTGGTATTAAGGAGGGTTAAGACATCTCGAGCCAGGTTGTCGAATCGACATTCCTCAAGTTCCGAAGCATGCATGAGGCTGTTGATTGAGTCCGTTGTCATAAATGGATCGACAGTTCATGAGCAATTGCTCAGATTCGCCCGAAAATTCCAAATCCTCATGCAGTCATGCTTTTGATGATGATGATGATGATGATGATGATGATGATGATGATGATGATGATGTTGAAGAGCCGAGACATATTTTGAGCTCATACTTTCGTGTAATTTTTTCTTCCTTTCATCAGTGAAGCTCTCTTAACACTTAAAAAACTCTCCATCAAGTGTTGATTTTTTTCTTTTTCTCCCTCTCCTTCAACCAAAATTTTAGCTGTCAAAAGAAGGGGGAAAAAAGAAAAAAATTGGTCACCTCCTTCATATGAAACAGACTCTGTCTGTTGTCCCAACTTGATGTTTGAAATGTTCGCCTCATTGTTTATTGGTGAAATTGTGATTTAAAAAACGCATGGCAGCGCGCTTTTGGACTTATCATTCGTCGAAGGGTGGAAATTTGTCAACATGGGATTTACAGTTGATAATGAAGTTCGGAGTTGGCCCGGAGTCTCGTCGCGTTTTTTGTTGATATTTCGACAACTTTCTTGCGAGCTCTTCTGGAAGGGGGTCGGCTCACGAAAAAGGCGGGAGACGGGGTCCTCCCTGTGTCACGGGTGAGAATGACGTGGGGTCCACCGCGACTCCCCAGGGACTCACTTGAAGAGCTCATTAAAACTTATAATCTACCGACTCCCCCTTTCTGGTCATCCCTTTGTGTGCGCTCTGTTAGTGCTCGCAGGTTCTCTGTGTCTGGCAGCAATAAACATCCGCCCCAGTGCCACTTTTTGCAGTCCCAGAGAATACTGGAGCTATTTTTCCTCTTTCCTCTTCCTTCCCTCCTCCTCCTCCTCCTCCTCCTTCTTCCTCCTTTCCTCCTCCTCCTCCTTTCTTCCTCCTTCTCCTTCTTCTTCTGCTCTTTTTTCTTATTCCTCTTCGTGGTCCACCTCTTAAAAATACCAATTAAAATATAGATAGCAAGCAAAACAGGTTTTATTCCAGCGAGCTAATTGTTGAAATTGATAGACAAAGCTATAGACGAAGAAGACATAAGGAGTATGGAGCGATCCTTTTGCTTGAAACGGGTGGCTCTTATAGACTAAGGGCGAAAATGATGGACTAACTAAAGAGGCTCTTGTAGGTTGCCGTTTTTTAGTTTAATACCTATACCTTCTGTGTCCATTGCAACCACCCATGCCTCGACTTAAAGAATCTCTCCATAGCCCTTTTGTCATCTTTGTCTATAGCTTTGTCTACCAATTGTAACAATCAGCCCGCGCAGCTCTTCGCCAGCGAGCTGACTTCTTGCTTTAGATTTCCCCTCCTTTATTTTGTAACGCCACTTTTATGTCAATATCCAGTGCTTATATTTCTAAAAATCTGTCATAGACCGTAAATGTTCGTAAATTTTTCAAATTTATTAGCTAATGATGGGGAATGAAAGGAAACAGTAATCTAGAAAACATGAGCAACAAATGCACTGAAAAAAATCTCGGTGTATTTACTAAGAAAAGGGTAAAATTACCAAGAATTTAGGGTTCTATTTGATCCCAGTTTTTTCTTGGTAAAATTGGTAAAATCTCCATAGGTTTAAATGGCATAACAATCGATATATCGCAAAGCACGCCACGCCACTGTTCGATACAGGAAGAAGTCCTCGGAATCTTTGTACTCCTTTCATGAGCAATAACCACACAAAAGACTGATTCTGAGAACAGGCGCATATCCCATCGTCCGCTCCTCCTCCTCCTCCTCTTCCTCCTCCTCCTCTTCCTCCTCCCCCCCCCCCCCCAAAAAAAAAGAGAAGAGAAAAGATTGTCTCATTTTCCTGAAAGCAGTCCAAGGGAGACCATACATATTTCCACGCATTTATTTCGGGCAACGGCATCAGGGAGTCCCGCGATTCCGTCGAGGTAACTGGACGGAACGAGACCAGGAGTGTGTAGACGGAGAGTGCACAAAGGCAAAGTTTGTCTGGAGCTTATTACTTTCTCCCCCGCTCGCCCCCCCCCTCCGCCCCCGTTTCGACCCCCATCGCTCGTCTTCGGGAAAGCCCTCGCGCCTCAGAAGAAACATTCGTTTTGCAAAAACTAATTTCACCCGCGAGGGGCACGCAGCGTGGGGAAACTTCGGGAGCTATATATTTCCCAAGTTCCAGGAGCCGACCCAAACGAGCTTATTGCCAAACTGGAAATTGCGCATGCTGCCTCATTTCCACATCCATTCGCTGCCGCCCGCCTTTAATTGTTTCGAAGAATTTTCATCAAGTGTATACTCCACGCCAAGCCAGCTAAATGAGAGCGCGGCCGGCCAATCAGCTTCGCTCTCGGATGGATCAGCTCGCCTTTAAGCGGGTTTTAGGATTATGAACAAAGTTGACCGAGTTTAGCAGAAAGGAGTCTAAATCCTTGGATTTTTTCAAAATTTTTCTTTAGAAATGAAACGCCTCACATTGCATTGTTTTCCCTCAGTAGGTAGGTGCTTTTTTAAACGGCTCGATGTACTTGGTAAAAATTCCAAGAGGCCCTGTGTTTTTTTTACACTGGAAAAAAAACACATTGGATCTAGAGTCCAGACTCTTGAAAACATCGACAAGAAAAAGTACTCTTGATTCAATCAGAATCTAGCTTAGATCCAGAAGCAAGCCTCTTATTTTAAGCGGATTTCGTTTTGATTCAAGCAAAAATCCGATTGAATCAAGAGTATTTTTTCTTGTCGATGTTTTCAAGAGTCTGGACTCTAGATCCAATGCGGTTTTTTTCCAGTGTATATACATACACGTATCCTGCAGTGTTAATATTTCTCTCATGTATTAGCTGAAATATTTGCGGAATAATAACCGATGAGAAACGTTGTAAATATTCTGTTCGACTAGTAAGACATATTTGGATGCATTTTGCAATGAGAAACCACCAGCATTACGTTTGATCGTTACGGTTTTTTGGTAAAAAAAAGTTTCTCTTGAAATTGTTGAGTTCATCGTCGTCAATCAACTCACTAGAATTCAACCGCTACAATTTTACCTTAAAATGTAAAGGCTTTAAACCCCTCTATTTAAAAATTGGTTTTCCTGGTGTTTCAGAGCCACCATCAGCGCCGCAAAATTTGACCATCAATTTTGTGGATCAATCGACCGTCATTCTATCCTGGTCACCGCCCAGTTTTCAGGGCGGCCGTTCTGACACCGAATACAGTATCGTATGCGACGCTTGCGGACCATCCGTCACGTACCTACCTCACTCCGTAAGTAGCCTGTGGCCTCTATTTTCATTATTTCAACAATACCGTCAGGAATCCCGGGGTGCATTTCACTCCGGGGCCTAAATTTCAGGGCCGGATCAAGGGGGTGGCCACATGGGCCGCGGTCCATGGCGGCAATTTTTGCAATTTTTTTAAATGTAGGTATAAAAAAATATCGGATTTAGGAAAAAAAAAATACAAACGAGAAAAGGCGACAAAATCTCTCATTTCCTGAGAGTGTAGGAATTTTTAATTTTGTCATTTCTTAGTGATACAAGAGACAGCACCTTTAATTAGTCGAGTTAAAAGAGAAACCAAACACGCAATTTGGCCTGAAACGGCGCGGCGCAGAGAGCAATGATGACGAGGACTTGAGATGAAAAGGAGAAGCCATCGGCGCGGCGATCGGCATGTAACACACATCAGCGCCTACAAGAATGCATGAATACTTCACGCATTGCACCAAACACAGTGCAGTCATTGCGGTCAGCGTGAAACGCATGGCGCCTACAAGACTGCGTGAATACTTCACGCATTGCGCCCAACACGGTGCGGTCTGCGCGGCGCGGCGGCGGAAGTTAAAATCATTTTAAACACATTCATATTTGTTCTTTCATAATTTTTTCGTTCATTTCTGATGAATAGAAGGCCTTGTCCACACAAAGATAGGTTTACAAAACTTAACTTTTGCTAGTAGTGTTGACACGGATAAGAGCTACATGATGTACGTGCGTGTGTTGATGTTGCGTTTGTGGGTTGGCAGGCGCCGTTCAACGACACGAAGGTGACGATCTCGGGGCTCTCGCCGGTGACGACGTACCTGTTCCAAGTGCAGGCGTCCAACGGGGTCTCGAGCCTGAGCGGGGACAAGCACGAGTCGGTGGACATCACGGTCACGACCGAGGCGAGTGTCACTTCGGCCTCGGTCAACTCCGTCCGGGTCATCTCCGTCAAGTCCAACGAGATCACCCTCAAGTGGGACCCGCCCTTCATCACCGACGACGAGGGAGAGGGCGCCGACGCTGTCGAAAAATACGAGGTAAGCTTATCCAATTCAATACAATACTTACAAAACAATACTCGCTCTACAATATTTAATACAATACGTTTAACACAATATCTAAATATGAGGACTTATCTGTAACAATACCGGATGTGAAAAATTACCTTTTCGAAACACATTCTAAAAACTGTTTTGGCATCGAGAAAATTTTGAGAAAATACTTGAGATGTGATCTTCGAGATCTGTACATTATGCCAGAGCCAAACATATTAAATTTTTGTGTGTACAAAACAGTTTTTTAAGCGTGTTTCGAAAAGGTAATTTTTAACATCCGCCATTGTTACATATAAGGCCTCAAATAGCCAATACAATAGCCAGCCAGGTTGACATCCTGCGGGATGGTGATCGAAATTGATAGACAAAGCCGTAGACACGTAAGACGGAAGAAAAATGAGGCGGCCTTATTGGTGGAGCTGTGGAAGCGGGTGGTTGCATTGGACGAAGGAGTTAAGTCTGCCCTCAAAGCGAAAACGCCGTAACTCCACTATAGTTTTTTTTTTTTTTCAATTTTTTCCTGATAAAATATTTTATCACAGAAGAACTAACGAGCACTCATCCTTCACAATTCTTGAATACCGTTGACATACTTCTGAGAACTAAAACTAAGAAAATTGAGCAGAATGGATTTTGGTGTTTCTTGCAAGAGGACAGAATTTCGTCGTTTTCCGCACGAAAGAACGTAACTACATTTCAATGTTGCCAAATTTCCTTTCGTAAATTGCATTTCAACCAGAAATGTATTGGGCATTTCTAACTGAAAATTTCACTGATTTTTCTTCCGATTTCATGCAAAAATCAGACAAATTTGGATATAAATTGCACACTTACATTTTTGTAAAATAAATTAATTGTTGAAGTCAATTTGGCAACCTTGGATTGGAGTTACGTTCCTTCGTACGGGAGACGACGATTTGTGAAAGAAAAATATAAAATCTTGAATGGAGTTACGGCGTTTTTGCTGTGGATGGCAGAAGTAGACTAACAAACGGCAATCGACAAGAGACCCCGCAGTTAGTCGATCATGTTCACCCTCAGTCTATGAGAACCACCCGTTTCAACCAATAGGATCGCTCCATACTCCTCAAGTCTTCTTTGTCTATCGATTTGTCTATCAGTGAGGGCCTGGATAGACCCTATTGAAGAAGCACCGGCTTAGAAAAATGGGTAGGTTACATCAAAGGCCTTTAACGACTACGAACGGTAATTTGTTCCTCGTTTTTTTATTTTTTATTGTTTTTTACTTTCAATCCTCGGAACAGGTTCCGAAGTTAATTCCTCGCCTTTCTAAAGTCATACCCGAGCGGGAAAACTTTAAACCACGATCCAACGCCGCTCATCGTAATTTTTACTTCTTTTAATAAACAAAGACAAAACCGTCCGAAAAGTGGAAAAGTTGGGGAAATCCCCCGGAGAAACTTCGCTACAAATTGAACTTTCTCGCCCGCGCTTAATGGGCGAAAGATCACAAAGCTCCCCCGGCGAAGAAGGGGTGAAGAAGGCGGCGGGGGCCGCGGGGAGGTTCATCAAAGGTTATGAACGCCAATTGAACGACGGGCAATAAAAAGTTATAAGGTATTTAATTTTATAATCTGCCTTGATTACGAGTGAGTGGAGAGCGGGTCTCATGTCGGAACTTGAAATTGGATCGTAAAAAGGGGAAGAGAAAGGGGGCGTCGGGGTTTTGAAAAGCACGCCCGCAACTTTTTAGCCTTTTTACAACCTCTCCACGGTGTCGCCAGGGCTCTGCCTGTCAAACTTGTTCCTTATCGAGCCGCAATTTTAGGCTCTTGGGGGACAGGGTAATTGACGAGCAACTTCTCGACGCGATGGAAGGGAAAGCGCCCGTTGCGCATTTCAGGTATAATCTTGAGCTTATAGACCAACAAACCCTGTGGGTTATTTTCCACGCGCAAATCAACAGGGTGAGTTTCTGCGTGTTACGTCAAGATAAACAAAATACGTATGGACCAATTTATACTCACGGGTTAAATTGTTGTTGTTGTTTTTTTGTTTTTGTTTTTCACTGAACCATCGAATATTTGCCTGAAAACACAACTTTAATAAGTGTGCGTGATTTGGGCATTATGCCCGCCAAGTTTTAGGTGAAATGACGCTCCAGACAGATCCCGCTCTTTTGGGTTGGTTTTAAATGAAAATGTGTCTTCATTGTTTGGCGCGATGATGCGACGAGGGGGTGTCTCGTTTTTCTTCAGCACTACCATTCCAAGGAAAAACGCCACGTGAGCCCGCAGACGTTTCCGAATTTACCTCGATAAAAAACAGTTTTTAGGGCAATTTGCGAACATTTTCCCTCCGATTTTTCAGACGATTTTATTTGCAATTGAATAAAAAAAAAAATCTGAACATTTCTAGTTCAGATACCTCTAAATTCCCTCGAAAATGAACATTTTATCACGAAAAATCTGGCAATCTTTGAGTTTTTACACTGCGTTTTGTCTCAGCACGGCAGAATTAGCAAAGCGAGACACGCGATGAGGAGGAATCCCTGTCTCGATTTCCGCGGATCGGAAGATGATACGGCCGACCGACACTGCATATGACCTGAATAGCACACCCGAATCCGACCAAAGCGTGGCTTAATTTGCACAACTAGGGCGATCGCAGACCGGGCCGAGGAAACCGTCGCTTCCTGACAGAACAACGTATTTGCATTCCGCTCCGAACCCAATCGTCTCTAAAACTCAATGCTTTCCCCGGCTCATCTCGAAGTGCACTTACGCCCTTTTGTCAACCAAGGGACGAAATGTCGCTCGGGGATGGGGTCCGAGTCGGAGCCCGTAAAACATTTCATCGCCCCTCTGCTGTAAGCGCGTATCTAGATCACCACGTGAGCCCTGTTCTACGTATAAATCAATGCTTTCTGGGGCTCATGCGGAAATTGAGATAGGCCGTTACAGCAAAGGAACGACGATTTCACAGGTTGTGAATTTCAGGCCGACGCGAGGGACCGGCGCACAGTGAATCGAGTCAACTAGAGAGGTCGGACATTAAAGTTTTGACGAAAAATGCAAATTTTGTTGTTTATTTCGTCACATTCTAAATTTTAAGGGGTGCTGTCAGAAGTAAATTTTACGAGGAAACCAGTGGAACCACTTTTAGAACCTAGAAAGTTTGTACAAAGGGAGTTATGAGCTTTCCAAATTTTGTCAGATCTCTCCTGTCGACTCGATCCACCGTGCGGCGGCGGGGGCTGTGGTCGGGGCAAGGAAATGGTAAAGGGTGTTTAGGCTCCGTCCGAGCAGAAAATGAAATTAACCGCGGATGGCGTGCAGGAACCCAGGAACCGCCCTGCTCGGCCCTCGGCCTGCCTGGCCACCTAACGGAATGCACTCCCGCGATGCGGACTCGCTGGATGTCACCGTTGTCATACCGCCTCCTCCTCCTCCTCCTCCCCCCCCCCCCCCNGGGTCCCTTCAACTTCCCGGCTTCCCCCGCCGACCCCCCGTCTTCGACCCCGGCAAACTCGATAATTAGTCGATAATGGGTCAACAGCGAGCTTTTGCCGGAGTTGAAAGGGGAATTGCCTCCCGTGGGAATGGTTCGGAACGGGAGACGAGTTCTTGAAAAGTCGTCGAAAATCCGGAAAAGTCGCGGAATTTTCCCGCGGGAGTGAGCGGAACCCTGGGTTTCTTCCTTCAGGCTGAAACGTCGAAAAACTTATTCTGACGAAATCATGATAAGACTTGATATGAGAGAATTTTGGGACAAGATGGCGTCCGGTGAGTGGCGGTCGCGATCAGTCGTGAGGCTTGAACTGGAAAAAAAAAACACATTGGATCTAGAGTTCAGACTCTTAAAAATATCGACAAGAAAAAGTACCCTTGATTCAATCAGAATCTAGATTAAATCAAGAACCAGGCCTCTCAATTTAAGCGGATTTCGTTTTGGTTCAAGCAAGAATCCGATTGAATCAAGAGTATTTTTTCTTGTCAATGTTTTCAAGAGTCCGGACTCTAGATCCAATGTGTTTTTTTTCCAGTGTGAATGATCGATTTTCGATATTTCCCTATTAGAAGCTATGATAAAGAATCGATTATAAAGGAGTTGGTTACGAACACTCGGTTTATCGATCCTTTTCCATGGGTTCAAATGGCAAATCGATCGATGTATCGCTAAGCACGCCACGCCACTGGTCGCGTAGGCGCATGCGCACGCACGAGCACACAGCCGCGG